TTAACCTCCACTGCCTCTGTGCCCTCTCCGGCTGTGGTACGTATGTAGTACATATACCCTTAACAGCAGCGAGGGAAGGGCCGCACTCCGAGGCTGTGTGAATTGGACTGTTGAAGCACCATGCTGGAAGCAGAAGCAGCTGTTGGAAATGCAATGAAATGACAATCCAACATGCAGGTGTGTTTAGATGTACGCTCCAACTGTGGCACAATATATTTTTCCATCAGTTTTCTGCTGTTTTGAGAATGTACTTCATTGATAAATCAAGTAATGTAACCTTGGAGAAGAAAAATCCTTTAGTTTAAGGCTTTAGAGTAAGAGAATTAATCTGGTTTGAAAATCCTGTGCTTCTGAGGGTCTACTTGTGTCATTTACTTAGTTTAGAAGATGAATATGGCAAAATATATTATTTATTAAAGTTGATATAGGCACTAAGCTGTAGCTTCCTTTTCTTACAGACTCATACATTAAAATTAATAGAAAAGAAGCTTCTAGCAGTTTAAACAGAACTTGCCTATATGGCACTAGGAGTAGGAGTATTTCCTTATTTTTGTAAATTATTTAGCAGCGATACAAATATTTTAAAACTCAAAATTGTGGATGGTCTCTTTGTTTTTGCTTGCTTACTTATTTGCGTTTTAAACACAGTTGTAATTTGAAGTGCTATTGGTATCTCCGTAGAGAAGTCCGAATGCCTCTCCTTGCAATGTCATAAAGTGTATAATGGCTTTGAGTTTATTTTGCCAATACTGATTATAGTTGCTAATACCTACTGCCAGAGGGGCTAAAAAATAGGCACTATAATTAGTGTATAGACAGGGTGAATTTTGGAGTTTCTATGTAGGCACCAGGTTTCTAAGTCTGGATTGAACAAAAACTGAGTAAAAGTGGTGGAACTTGCATATCAGCAAACACCTGTATATTTATCAATGCAAAATGGAAGTTTGCATTTCTGCCATATGTTCATAAGAGTTATATTTGCCTCTTTTACACTGAAGGAAATTTAGAACTCTATTACAGTCCATCAGTGACTATTTCTACTATAATCAAAAGACTTGTTTGAGAACTTAATCTTCTTTCTTTTGAACTTCTCCAGCCTTCCAATAGCTGCCAAACCATCCAGTGACTAGAATATCTGTTCACCCACACAGATAACTCAGTTTTCTTCATTGGCTCCACAGTGTGAGACACCATGTTCTGCTACAGAGCACCGTAACAATGTGTGCTGCATAACAAATGTATAAGTCTAAGGTTCAGTTTGTGAGTGTCCCTAAAACCATATGACCTGTTCCATAGCCTTGTGTCACAATTTAGGAGTTGGTCCTGTATTCTATGAATATACATATAAATACCTACATTTGTAGCTGAAATTCCTGGCAGTTATTTTTAAGAAGTGTCCCAAAATGAATTTATGGCATTTAAAGTCAAGTAACAGTCATTGTTATCAATAGCAAGATGAGGGGATAAAAACATTATATCTTTTAGCTCTTATGGCTTTTTCTCTGCCTTGGAGTGCCACAGATTAGGTGTGGGCCACAAAGAATACTGAAGTCAAATTGTGTTCAACAGTAGCATGAGTTGATCTGGACAGGAGCTTCTAAACACATTGTGATTCCCAGACCTCAGTTGCCTCCCTAAGATCCAGTAGAGCTTCTCTGCTGATGATCAAATGCCTATGGACCATCCAGGTGATATAGTGATTTGCGGGGTTCTTAGCCCAACTTTCTAAGTTAATATAGTAAAATGCAGTACTCCACTGCAAACTGACCTCAGACATGGAGTCTGGTAAGAGCCAGTAGCAGCCTACACAGAAGACAGCCTGGGATTCACCTTACCCTCCCCATTGCCGTTGCGGTTGCTTGTCAGAAGGGAAAGGTGGGAGTAGTGCAGACCAAAGATACCTTTACGTGCAGCGTGTAGAGGATCCCAAAGAGGCTGCGATACACTTAATTTGGAAAGATTCTAACGTTTTCATCAATAAAGGTGCAGGACAGATGAGTGGGGATGAAATAGTGTAGGAAAGGATGGAGAAAATTTGGGTTCAAGACCGGGGATAGATTGTACATCTCCTGTGAGTGCCAACAGAATATTTGTATCACTTTCCACCATCACTGTGGTGGTTTAGAAATTCTGTGATTTTAGAGAAACATTAAGCGTTATTGGTTTCAGTGAAACATCTTTTACAACTCCAGGAATATTCTCAGTACAGACCAAACCCAGTATGAACCAAGTTGCTTTTGCCAAACTTCATGCAGCAGAGAAAATGTATTGTAATGGAGATGTCCATCCCTTCTGCTGCAGATTGTCACACATCCCATAGGCAGAAATGAATGCAGATGCTGCGTCTTTGAAAGGTATGAATGTATGTAGTGTTGCTTGTGTTTTTATTTAGTATTTATTGGGGAGGAGCAGGAGGGAGGACAATAAAGGAAAGAGGAAGGGTGAAGTTCTAAGATATTAACAGGCATTAATGTTAAACTTCCTTTAAAAGCCTTGTGGTTACCAAGATGTGGTTTACATTAGTGCATGTCTATTAAGAGAGTCTGTAATGTCTGTCATTATAGCACAGGTGATACCTCCACGGTGCCATTTTAGGTGTGAGCGAAGGCATGAACTATAAGCAAAAGAAACTAATCTGTTGGATGCAAGTGATGACAGATAAGAACTCAGTTTTTGTAAATTCTTCTCTTTTAATATAGCAACCCACACATCATTCAGTTGGTATAAATTCAGTTGGTGTCTTCATCATGATGAAGATAGCCTGAGTTCCACTTCAATTTCAAGTGTCTAGTCAATGATGAGAGCTAAGTGCCTCTGAAGACATTGAGAAATGATTCACATGGCCTAAGACATGGAGTAGGGAGTTGCCTAAAACCATGCAGTAGGAGACACTTGACACATGGATTTGGTGGATTTAGAACATGTGAATATAATGATCAATGATTTCAAGTCCATAAACACTTTCAAATGTATTTAATTAACTCCTTTTTCACTAACAAGTCTAAATACATATAGCTAATGCACATTTTGAAACTCAATACAGCATTTAACTGTCTGAACTACTGTTGCAATTTTTGATGCCCTTCATTGATTCTCTGTTTCACAGGGGTTGAATAGCACAGTGGAGCGAAAGTGTTTCAAATTAATCTTAATATGAAGGTGGTTTTGGTTTGTCATCTTCCCTCTCTGACAGGATACAGAAGCAGCAATAAATTTGATACACCGTGTGTCTATGAAAGCCTTGAGTAAGATAGAAGCCTTTCTTTTCAGCTCATGTGACATTCCCATGAGCGATACAGGACAGTAAGTTTTAGCTGAAACTGTTGTTATCACACGGCTAGTTAGAAATTCCTGCTCCACAAGTTCTTTGTCAGGATGAAATGAAGTATCACGTAGAGGAGTCTGTCCTCATCCAGAACTAGTCAACATCTTTGTTAATGACTTGGATGAAAGAATAATATGGGGTTTATGTTTTCAGACAGTCAGAAGGTAGAATGGCCTTCAAGCACATTCGAAAATATAATTAGGATTGAGAATGATCTTGACAGATTGGAGCGATGGCCTGAATTAAATAGTAGAGAGTTCAGTAATGACAGAGAAAGCATGACACTTTGTGGAAGTTCTGCGGAAAAAAGATGTGGGAATAGTACTCAGTCATAAGCTTAAACATGAATCAGCAATATCGTAGTACACTGACAGTCTCGTGTAGTGGTGTACAAACAAGAATGGCATAAATTGTTACGATCAAAGTGATCCTTCCAATCTATTTGCTACTACTACAGCCTTAAGAGGAAGATTTACCCAGTTTTCAGCATCAAACATTAAGAAAGAGGGATATTTTCTTTCAAGAACTGTGAGCCAAACAGAGATTTAGAAAATGTGCCCCAAGATGGACTGAGAAACTTTTTCATTCAGAGAAGAGGAAACTGTAATGTAACACACGTAATGAAATGCATTGGAGGTGGAGGAGAAAAGGAAGGTAGCAGACTGCTTTTCATCCTGTATGGATGGATTATTTTCAAGGGTTGGTCTAGGGGTTCCTCAGCTCTGGAGTATAAACTCAAAGGTGGGAAATGAGACAATGAGTTGAAGGGTTTAGAGCTCCTGCATAGGTAAAAGAAAAATCTGTCCAAGAGGATAGCTGAGCATGGGGATGTTTTTCCTGAGGAAGTTTGGGTGTCTTCATCACTGGAGTTTTTCAAGAACAACTTACACAACAGTTATTGAAATTGTTTAGGCCCTTCCTAGCCTCTTTTTAGACCTGGTTGGATTCAATATGCTTTATGTAATTTAAAGGCTGTGTTTAATTTTGGCTGTTGATACCAGCTACAATTGCTGAACAGCTTTGGAGTCTTCCTTGCCACTTTGTCAGTCCCAAACCAGCAGAGCCTCTTCTCTGCTGCTCTGTTTTCTGGCTTAATTTCTGGTCCCTTTACACATCTCTCCATTTTATGAATAAAAAAAATAAGGAAGAAAAAAAAGTATTGAAGGATTCAGTATGTATTTTGTTTTATTCCTTCAATATTTTGTTATAAATAGAATGAAAGATGGAGGGGCAAAAGGGCTTTTCTAATCATGTAACCATAATCTTACTTCTCTTTCTAGCGTACCCATGGTCTCCAGTGATCCCATAGTCCCTACATTCATATTATTGCTCCAGCAGCTTGATTCTGGGATATTGTGGTCTCCTACAGCATCACTAACAGTTTGCACAGCAAGAGTATTGCATAGCAGTATTGCAATCTGATAATGCCGTTGAAGTTCTTTAGGGGGACTGGTGCAATATAAAGCTTTTATGTATATTATAGGTGGAGTTTTAGTAGGTATCTTTTATGTTGACTCACATGTATTCATAACTACTTTTTATATTGATTGATATCACTACTGAGGCAAGTAGCTCTTCTTGGAATGCAAGCACAGTTTTCAAAAGACCAAATTTTGACAGAATTGTACACAAATAATTGGTGTCTTGTTTTTCCCTTCCTTCCCCCCACTTTTAGCTGGCTGTGAGGTGGTTGGAACACAACTGCCGCTACCAGTACATGGATGAACTTCTCCAGTATGTCCGCTTTGGCCTTATGGATGTGGATACACTGCATACCGTAGCTCTTTCTCATCCTCTTGTCCAAGCTAGTGAAACTGCGACAGCACTTATTAATGAGGCCTTGGCTTATCACCAGAGCATCTATGCACAGCCAGTTTGGCAAACCAGAAGGACAAAACCTCGCTTCCAGTCAGACACTCTTTACATTATTGGTGGGAAAAAACGTGAAATCTGTAAAGTGAAGGAATTGCGATACTTCAATCCGGTAGATCAAGAGAACGTTCATATCGCAGGGATTGCAAACTGGAGCGAGCTAGCACCTATGCCTGTAGGGAGAAGCCACCACTGTGTTGCTGTCATGGGAGACTTTCTTTTTGTAGCTGGTGGAGAGGCAGAGCACTCCACAGGGCGCACTTGTGCGGTGAGAACTGCCTGTCGATACGACCCCCGCACTAACTCTTGGGCTGAGATAGCTCCAATGAAGAACTGTCGGGAACATTTTGTGCTGGGAGCAGTGGACGAGTACCTCTATGCAGTAGGGGGCAGAAATGAGTTGCGTCAAGTGTTACCTACAGTGGAACGCTATTGCCCCAAGAAGAACAAGTGGACCTTTGTACAGTCCTTTGATCGATCGCTCTCATGCCATGCAGGATATGTGGTGGATGGTCTTCTTTGGATATCAGGTAGAAAACGTTTCACACAGTTTGAGGTACTAACAAAATACCAAAATACTGTCTCGAATGAAACTAATAAATCTTCCTAGGTTTATATGTCAGGATAACTTTTGTCTTAGGAGATGGGTATTTCAGAGAATTTAAGCCTGGAAGCATAAAATCAAGCCTGATGAGAAGTATAGGAGCATAACATACCTATACAATATTTTTTGTCTGCTAAATATGTCTCTGTGTTTCCAAGCTGCATATATCATATGTGATATCTCCAGTTGCCATTCATAAATCACAGTGAATCGAAATGATAATGCACTTTTGGACAAATTTCAGATGACAAATTCTGTGCGCTTCCTAAAAACAAAAAAGAAGACGCAGTGTCTGTAGTATGATTTGGTACCACTGCATTTATTCCTGATAATGAAATGGAGAATTGAGTGCTTGTTGGCCTGTGCAGGGCTTGAAGGCAGGTGTATGAACTGCTCCCACTTGCTCTTGAGGATATTGTAACAGGCCAAGATGACCTTCATTAGAAATCATGCATGGCTCTGTCCATAGCAAGTGCACAGGACTGCCTGATGTAATCATAGCTTTATGGCACAGATAGATGAAAGTATAGGCCTTGTAATCTTAAACTAAGATACCATTTGCAACTCAGTACTTTTTATTTTACATGTGCACATTGATGGGAGTTGAGGACATTGTGCTATCAACTTTGTAGTGACTTTTCTGTTATTAGTTGCTTTGGAACAAGGTGCTGTCTACAGAAAGTTTGACGGGGAAAAAAACCAAACCATCTTTTAGTAAGAAGTGTGTCACAGAAGGTTATAAAGTTGTAATATTTATCAAGGAAGTTAATGAGTAAATGCGGCCAGCCCTTGAGGAAAACATTTGGTGATTGCCATCTTCACTGTATATACCCTCAGGGGTTGTTAATATGGTCTGGGATCCCTCTGGTGAAAAGATGGTATATGAATGTTTCGTGGTTTAACCCCAGCCAGCAACTAAGCACCACACAGTCGCTCACTCACTCCCCCCACCCCGGTGGGATGGAGGAGAGAATTGGAGGGGTGAAAGTCGGAAAATAAAAATAGAATAGCAGCAGTAGTAGTAGTAGTAATAATAATAATATAATAATAATACAATAGTAATATACAAAGCAAGTGATACATGATACAATTGCTCACCACCCGCTGACTGATGCCCAGCCCGTTCCCAAGCAGCGACTGCTGCCCCCCGGCCAGCTCCCCCCAGCTCATATCCTGAGCATGACATCATACGGTATGGCATAGCCCTTTGGCCAGTCTGGGTCAGCCCCCCCGGCTGTGCCCCCTCCCAGCTTCTTATGCACCTGGCAGAGCAGGGGAAGCTGAACAGTCCTTGACTGGTGTAAGCACTACTTAGCAACAACTAAAACAGTGTGTTATTGACATTATTCTCATCCTAAATCCAAAACACAGCACTATACCAGCTACTAGGAAGAAAAAATCAACTCTATCCCATCTGAAACCAGGACAGAATGAAAGATTAAGTTAGCTACTTAGGCCCTTGCTGTGCTTCTGCCCAGGGAAGTGGTGGAGTCCCCATCCCTGGAGGTATTTAAAAGACGTGTGGATGTGGCGCTTAGGGACATGGTTTAGGGGTGGACTTGGCAGTGCTAGGTTAACGGTTGGACTCAATGATCTTAAAGGTCTTTTCTGACCTAAACGATTCTATGATTCTATGATTCTCAAAGTATGTCATTTAAGTTAGCAGAGCTCCTTGCAGATGTATCTTTCTGCACATATGGATTAAGTGCCTTGTGGGAATGGATTCCCAAGCATTGGCGGGGGAGGTAGCAGGTATCTATTTTTATACATACACACTAAAATAATGAATAACGACTTTGGAATTGAAAGCATGACAGAACGCAGAAAATCACCAAAATCCCTGGCAGGTGCTTTGGGTCGCTTTCTTCAACAACTGGCATCAAAGGAGTTGTGTAGAGTTTGTGCTGTGTGTTGATCCTGAAGCGTGCATTCAGTGGTCTTTGAGACCCAGGTACAGTACAGAAACAGGGTTTCTGCTTTAGGGTATGAGCTGGGCGTGTTCAGAGCATTACCCTGTTTATTCACTACCTTTCCTATTTTATCAGTGCAGAGAGATGTACGCCTGTGATGGGCAATTCAAATACATGGAGCTACTACTGCTGTGTCTTGATTTCCCCCCCCTGCCCCTTGTGGTTACCGGTTGTCCATTTCTATAAAAAACAGGACTTTTTAGGAAATGGTGTTAACGCATTCATATAAAATCATTGAACAAGTAGTAGAATCACTACCTTTCCTATTTTATCAGTGCAGAGAGATGTACGCCTGTGATGGGCAATTCAAATACATGGAGCTACTACTGCTGTGTCTTGATTTCCCCCCCCTGCCCCTTGTGGTTTACGGTTGTCCATCTCTATGAAAAACAGGACTTTTTAGGAAATGGTGTTAAACGCATTCATATAAAATCATTGAACAAGTAGTAGAAACATCCATCAGAGTGTGGTCCTTGCTCTAGTACATGAAAAAGTATTTTTTTTTTCTTAATTTCTTTTTTTCTGTACAAAAAAACACTAAGGAAGTATTTGATAGAGATTTTTAAGTCAAATGTGGGACTGGTTGAAGATTACTTTTAATCTTTCCAGATATGTTAGGAAAGGGAAAATTATGCTGAGGATTAATTAATGTGCTTAGTTACGTAAGTGAAATGCATGCCTGCCTGTGTGTTTAAATACTATCTGCATTTATATAATGAAGCAGTGTGATACTCTGTTCAGGGATATGCCTCTAATACAGCTGTAGAATCAGGGGAAGAGGTAAGTGGAAGCCTATTAGATGAACTCTTTAAAACTGGGCAAAACAACAAAAAATATTTTATCATTGTCATTCCATTTATATTTGAAAATGCTACCAACATAGCTTCTGTTGTAAGGTCACAGTGAGGAGCAATGTTTTGGCAGTGGAATAAGGTAGACAGGACTTTTTGGTTGTATTTTGTATAGTTTTTAAGGAAATGCTTAGCAGTTTTGAGTTGCTAGATTCTGACAGGTTATTATGAATTATGAGAGCATTCTATGCAGTACTTCAGTAGGGTATTGATCTGAATTATGTACTCACAGATTGCAAACTGGGTTCTGTGTATTGAATAGAGTTATTTTATAAATAAAAGTAGATGGAGATGCAATAACTGTAGCTAGCTTTCTATTATTAATTACTTGCTTAGAGCTAGAATGTAGCTCGCTGTATGTGTAGGAGGGGCAGGGGAATAGTAGAGAGATGTTTTATTGTTCCAAAAATATCAGTAGTCACTGCTCAAAAAATCCAGTGTTCATCATCAAATGTAAAGTGTTAACGTAAGAGTAATCAGTAATGTAGGAGGGAAGTGAATTTTGAAGTGTGTGGCCTAAAATTAAGTAATTAAAAAATTAGTCTGAGTTAGGGATGTTTCTGAGCTGTATCCCTGTTGCTTTTTCTGGGAAATTGGGTCATCAGCAAGAGCTCTCAAAGTCAGTCTGCTACTACCAGCTGGCAAAGTAACCATGAAAATGTGCCCAGTTTTTTAGTATGTGAATAAATTAAATGGTGATAATACAAGTTTCTAGCCCTTGTATTTGTGGAGCGAGTCATCAAAACATGACCTGCACCCAGACCATTTACTTATTCTGCAGCCAAAGCATCAGCGCCTCTGCTACAGCCCCTTGTCTTGTAAAGGCTGTGCTAATCAAAAGCTGACTAGGCTTAAGGGGTTTTTACTATTATTATTGGGATTCATTGTCGGCTTTACTTTGCTGCTCCTTTGGGACAAATACGAGAAGGAATAAAAAATAATAGAGCATAAAATCATGGCAAAAGCAGCAGGGAAGGGAAGTGTGTTAAACAAAATGCTGTAAGCGCACACTGGCAGTAGGAGACGGGTGGCCGGTGTTTCAGGTGACAGGGACTCCTAAGCTGCAACCTCCCCTTTGGGGTTTTTAACCTGCCAGAAGGCTCAGAGGGAGCACTCTGGAACTAGTCGGACCCTCTGGTCAGCACAAATGGGTTCGGCTCGTGAGTTTTCTGAGCTCCATATATTATGGAACATATTTTTATATTTGTGTCGTTATTTTTTCTCATCTTTTTTTTTTTATTATTTTTTCACAGCCCGTATTTTATTTTATTTTCTTATTTTAAAAAGTAGATGAGAATTCATTAAAATAAGTTTTCTGTATTGACAGTACAGCATCGGGCAGATGGTTTGGAAATTTTATAGAAAGATGAATCTTACAGGCCCCAGTTAACATCTGACACCATGACCCATTTCACAAACGAATTGCATGCCACATGCTTGAAAAGTGAAGTATTTGAGTGAAAGAGAAACAAAATGCACCAAACCCTTTGGAGTTCAACATTACTAACAATCATTCCTTATAAAAGCAGGGAAATCTTTTCCATAAGAGCGAGAACTTGAACTATGCCCGTTTCCCTGCATCCTCCATGGTGCACACATGCAAATCTGGAGACCTACTTTCTATACACCTGAACTTTCCTCCTCCCACATAGGTGTAGAGCCCATGGGGATAGAGAGGGGCAGGGAACCTCTGCCAGGCAGCTCAGCTCTGGGCCATTCCTGCACCTGCAGCTGGGGATAAGGAGGCTTCCCCTCTGCCTCAAGTGCTCAAGAGATTAGCACATGAAAAGTCTTCTCTAAAGCAAAGTATTATGCTGTTGTTTCACAGAGGTCCGAGTTGCCTGACCTTAAGTGTGTCAGCTAAAATCACATCTTGACATGCACATGGAAACTCAACTTGGGGGGGTAAACAAGCCAACCCCATACAGTTGCTTCGTATTTAACAGCTTTTTTTTCAAAATCAAGATTCTTTTTTTTTATTATTATTTTTTTCCTTAATGGTGGAGATTTTGACCAAGGAAATGATAGAGATCACATATCTTAGAGAATTATTCTGAGTTTGCAAGTGGTTTGGGGGGGAAGGTATTACCTTATTATCAGTATGCTGTTTGTTGTGAGGAGAAGAAATTTTTTTCTCAGTAAATGCCTATGAAATTGTTTTATGAAAAATAGATCTGGAATAAGTAGGAATCTACAGTGTCTAACCAAATCAAGTTTTGCAGTGCAGCTGGCACAGAAATTACCAGGAGCAAGAGCTTAACAAGTACATAAAAATTGCCTCAGTGACCCAGTCTTAGCCTGTATATGGAACAGTGTTTCTTTATTATTGTCATTATATTTGAATAAAGATAACGGATCTCACACCTTTCAAGCATGGACGTTCTAGGTTTGATGCCATTGATTCTTCTTAGATTGAATGTAAACATCAGGTTTTAATGATTTTTAAAAAAACCAACTCACAAACAAACTAGGGCTTGTGCCCCTCTTGTTTGCAGCTGGATCGCATCCGAGGTGGAGCAGTGTTCATTAGAGCTCCTGGTGGTGTCTTCCAGGGCACTCCTTAGGGTGGGAGAATACGCTCCAGCTCAGCTGTCCTCACTGCACCTGGGCTGGCTGAAGTAAAAGGCAGGGGGCTTGCACGTTGAGGAAGGATTATCTTGTGTTTAACACACAGGCACGTAAGAGAGGAGAGATTTCTATTTTAAAATAGCAGAGCACCTTGGGGCGCATGTCGTGAGTTTCTATATATTCCCTGGATTTGCTGGAAGGAATACACGTGGGAGCTCTTTGCCAACATGTAGTTTTACACGTCTCCCGGCAAACTCGGATTCGTGCGTGCAGCCTAGCACTTGGGGACTTCAGAGAGAGTTGTGAGATTTTCTGGGGGATTTGGATTGGATTAGATTTCTCTAGTCATATGGGGGTCTTACTAGGACAGATTCTAAATATGGATTATAAATTTTTGATTGGGAAGATGGTGTTGGATCTACTGCCTCCCACCGTTCTCTTTTTGGAGGTGTCTTTATTGAAGGTGCTTTTCAGTGCAGTTTGTGAACTGTTTGGGGGACTGTAACAAACCAAAATATTTCCCGTGTGTGGGGAAGGGCTGGACAGGTGGGTCTTGGACTCCTCCAGGACCTCTCCATGTAGAGGGGCAATGTTGCATGAGTTGGGAACTTAGGGGTCTTGGAGGGCTTCAGCCTGCGAGGGAGTGAGTAACAGTGATTGTGGCAGTGTAAAAATATTGTAAGCCCACAGGCTGGATGCTGGGTTTCCCATGAGTGTGCTCTCGCAGCTCTAAGAGCAAGAAGGACGTAGGCTTGTCCTGAGAGTGCTTCTTGCCTCCTGGAAACTCTAGTTCTCAAAGCAAGCTGCTCAAGTCAAAGCGATGCAATCGTGGCTCTCAGTTTATAAAACCCAGTGAATGCTGACCAAACTGTAAATTTTCTGTCATTCATCCGGCCAGACTTTTTTTTCTCTTTCCTTAACTGATGGGTTACTACCACATTAGCTGCTATTGCTTGACATCAAATTTAATAGCATGGTTTGTATTTTTAAATACTTCTTTTCAAGTGTAGTTACGATGCCTCCCTGCCTTTCCCTTCCTTTCCTCATAGAAAGCACTGCAGAGAAGCTTAAGAAATTATCTCGGAATTACCCCATTTTTTTCTGAGAAAGTATGTATTCTTTTTAGTACCATTTAAACTTTTTTTCCCTTTTCCTATTTTTTAAGAGACATATTGCTCTTCTTTTGCCCTTTCCCAGCTGCCTGAAGTATTTAAAAAAAAAAAATAGTTCAAGAGGACATTGCAGACTTGTTAAATTTGAATTTTGGCAGAAAATTTTAAACTTTTGCTATAGCACTTCAAAGTTAGGAGGAACTTGAGTTTGAAAATTGATGCAGATATAAGATGGCATATTTAATGACAGATGTATCTATAGAAACCTGTTAAGATGCAGATTATCCCCCTGGGGAGGGGAGATCAAAACTGCCAATCTATAAAATATACTTGTTAGGGGAAGGCATGGAATCTATCTCTGCGAGCACTTTGATTGCAGGGGACAGTGTAGCAGCATGTGGCATCATAACCTAAGAGCAGACAAATCAGCTTGATGACTTTCAAAGCCAAGAATACTGCTGGAGGCAAGGGTACTCCAGTCTAGAAGAAATTAAAACATATAGAGACTGTTATTAATTCCAGATCTATTTTTGTGTAGTCAAATCTGTATGCAAATCCTTAGCATCTCATTTTGGCAGATTAATCTAAAAGTGAAGAGCGGCATGTGAAGGGAATGTAATGATAAAACACCACAGATGAGCAATATTGCAGGGGAAAAAAATCTAAGCTGTGTACTTGATATGAGGGGCTCTTTGTGAAGAGAGGCAAATAATTTTGCTTATTTGATTATTTCATTATTTTACAAGGAAGCAAACCCCTTCTTTCTCTTCTTCCTCAACATCTTTCCCCCCAAATTAAGGTGTCCTTTCTGAATGGAAATACAAGAGCCAGCATTGTGTTTCTGATGCATCTCCCATAGTTTACCATTCTGGAGGTAATCATCCAAATAACTATGATTTTTATTTTTCAAAATACTAATCTGACATCTCATTTTTAAACATTACGCTAGGAGTGAAAATAACTATGTAAAAGAAAATCAAATTACAATACAGATATTAGAAAAGATTGTTTTGTGTATGTGGCTGATGGCCACTAACACTGTGAAGGCTGCACAACAGCGTAGAGACAAATAACAGATTGCGAGATGAGATACGGGAACAGTCACTGCTTTCCAATGCGTGTTCTTGCGTGTGTACTTTCCAGGTGCTGCGATGGGCAGTGTGTGGCATAGTGTGATGGAAACCGCTTGGGAAGACTACATCTCATCTCAGCTGTCTCACAGCCTGTAGGCGTCTCTGAGCTGGGAGCTTGCGCTGCTGTCCCTGTGTAGGGGCCCCAGGACAGGCTGGTGCTTGCAGAGATGCGCCCAAATAACAGTGTTTTGCCTTCCTGCTGCTGCGGTTGAAGACAAGATTCTTCAATAGATTTGTCCTCGGTTTCTGCTATCCATTGATTGCATTCTTGACCTCACTCAAGTTATTTGAAGTGATCAGAGGGTACATCTATGTTAGCCAGTAGCTAAGCCCAGTAGGAACAGATCAGCAGACAAAACCTTGGTGCCCAATTCTCTATATCTACTCCATGTACACATTTTTTGCTTTGGACTAGATTTATTCTGGTCCTCTGGACCAAACATTCCCAGCACTCAGCTGGTACAAAACCATCCAAAAGACCAGTTATTATTTCACACCCTTATGCCTCTGTTAGGAACTGGAGCACAAGTGGTGCACATCTGGAGTGGAGATTCTGGTTTAACTTGAATGCACACCAGTAGCGCCCTGCAGCCTGAAATGATGTGTGAAAGGTGGGGGAGTCGCTTCAAAATCACAGTATGGCTCTGAACCAAAACACTGTGCGAGGTGCAGCTGGAGGCTGGCAAAATGAGGATTCCCTAGCACGGAGGCATGTTGAAGAGTCGTTGTGGATAAAAGAAAAAACCCAGTGGCCTTAGTAGGACTGGGCCATAGCTCAGCCGGCAGGAATAAAAGCAGCTCTGCTGCTGCCCTGTCTGAAACAGGGGATATCCTTGTAAAAACCGAAGCATAAACAAATGTAATGACAGATGAAATTCCTTCCTGTCATTGCTGTGGATTTTGTCCATCATTGGCACACGCTGTTAAAACTATAATATCAAAAGTTTGTCTGTCAATATGAGTTTCACTGGTGTGGCCTAGTTAAGTCCAGACCTTCTGGTAGGATGAAAGGTGAGGTGCAGCTTGCTGGCGTTATTTCTGGTCCCATCTTCCCATGGGCCCAGGGTGGTGACAGAGGGGGGCCTGGGACCTGTGGCAGTGCTGCGGTGACACCATATCCCCAGGAGGATTGAGCACACTCAAGAACACATTTACACTGGTAGATTACAGACTTAAGACTGAAGAATTTTTCCACCAGTATACTCTGGGATTTGCCATTTAAAACCAATAGAGTACAGGATGATCGGGGATTAAACGTATACTGTGTTGAGGTAAATCGTTGGTTTGCGGCATCTACTTGGGCCAGACTCTATTCCGGGCTTTTTTGTGGTGCTTTATACCTTGCTTTCCAAACGTTATTGAAAGGTACACGCGCTAAATGGTAGTGCTGTTTCTGGTCGCTATGGAGGAACCTCCCAGCATAAGTCTACAACTAAACCTGGAGATGTTGTCTGAGTAATACATACCAAATACAGAATTTCCTTCAAATATATAGGTGAGTGCAGTTGCACAGGGTTGTGCTACGCTTTCCGGCTGACAGCTGTGTCCCACGTCACGCTCCTGCTTAGGCAGAGCTCCTCTCCGACCTCTTCTTCTCTCTGATGCAAGCCTGCCTTGTCCTCCTTTAAACCGTGTCACACACTGCACGCTCCTTGGAACAGGGACGGGTTTTATCTTCGTGTGTCAACGACGGCTGAATGTACACTCATTTATAAACAGATCAATTTTTATCTCATTTTTAGCCCATGGAATTAGCTTTACAAAGGAAGTGTGCGGGGGGCGGGGGGGGGTTGTTGGTGCTATTTTGTGTTTCTAGATGTTTGACAAATGTGCTACTTATTACCTTGTAACCAGATTAAAAAGTGCAGTGGAATGTAAGCATAAGTGGTGGTATGCAATGTAATTATTTTGGCAAACGACCCCTAGGATTGGTTATTTTGCTGTATCTGATCTTGGTCCTGGTTTTGTTTATACAAAAAAAAATGTAACCTGTATAAACTCTTTCATAGGAGGAGTAACAAATACTGCACAGTATCAAAACCGGCTCATGGTCTATGATCCTAAGCAGGTGGGTATCTGTGTCGTATGTGTTTTCCATACGTTTTGCTTCAAACAGGTCTCTTAGCAAATACATGCAATGATTTTGTAAGGCTAAAAATGCTGCCCATTTGAATTAGTGGTGTTTTAAATTCATTTTGTACTGATATGTGAGTATAACAGAGTAATGGAGACCCTGACTTTTTATTACATTTTTTTAAGCCTGTAGGTGTTAGAAACATCTAGATTAAATACAGAAATGTGCTTTAAATCCCTTGTATTTATCAGTATTTATTTTGCTTTTTCATTTTTTTGTAATTCAGCAGCCCAGGGCAACATATACTCAAAGTCAGTGTCACAAAACTGCTCCTTGTCATTGGCATTTCTGCTTTGAATTGCATATACGGGCTTTTTGTTTTCTGCATACTTTCAGAACTACGCTACCTGGCTGTGACTTATTCTGCTGACTGCAAGGGTGCCTATCATTTCATTACCCAAGCACCTAAAATATCTTTTAGGGATTATTTCATACATTATGTATGTGTTTTGATTAGGTTAGCATGGCTCAGTAACCGTTTCAGAGGGTTAGGGCATGGTTATGCCCTCTTGCTTGTGTTAGGAATTAAAAGTCCTAAGCTTGCAATCAGAGTTGCATAGCCTGATTTACACCCGTGTGGAAGAGTATTGACTTTTCTGATTGTAGGATAGGCGCTTTGATTGCTGTACTTGGAACCAAATTGTGCCAGGAGATACTTCTGTGTGGTTCCCAGTGACTTTTTAACGCATAGCACATACGGGTCCTGAAGCAGAAAGCAGGCAATGACACACCTGCCTCTTTCTTTTTGAGGTACAGTTTTATGCATCGATTGTACAAATCCTGATTTGGTCCTGAATCCAAGTAGTTATTACAGGCAGCAATCTTATTTTGCTTATGAAGGGGACGCTCTTATTTAGATGCTGTTTCTCTATCGTGTATCTTTCGCTTTAATTCTTTACTTGCTGTGGTGAAAGTTGCACCCCAAAATACTGGTGGCAGGGCTACTTCAGCATGCTGTGCCGACGGCGAGAAACCTGGCCTGGCGTGTAAAGAGTTACAGAGGAAGTGTGCGCTTGCATTCTTCAAATGCGGTCCGCTTCGTGTTTGTACACACGAGCTCTTTTTAAAAATTCTGCTGGCATATTGTTTACGGTGGGTACTGGAAACCATCACATCTGCTTGCATCTCGCACAGAATCTCAATAACTCTATCATTCAGCACCAGCGCTTGCTTCTGCGCGAGGCCTTTGTGGCGAGTCGATAATGCCTGCCATCTGCCACAGAGCACACAGCTACCTGCCAACAAGCCGGCTGGGGTGACCTCTGCTTCCCCACCACTGATTAGTATTCACACGCTGGCTTATTAGAAGTGACCCCGCCAGGCCCCTCTGTTTCTTTGCCTTTGCAGTGCTTTGCAGCTCACCTGGCAGGCACTGCAGTGGAGGAAGCTAAAGATATAATCAGGGGATGCAGGCAGGCTTTGCAAAGCAGATGGTGTCTATAGTCTGGTGTTAAGAGACTGGACTACTAATGCAAACATTAATGCCTAATATTCAACTATTGCGCAGTGAAATGTATAGCTATATATTGTGGGGGTTAAAAGGCAGTAGTTATTAGAGGCTCTTGAGTTACCGCAAGCGGTAGCACATGTAACACAGAGAATTTCCTCACAGATTTTAACTTCCTCCGCTTAAATAAATTAGTCTCATCCATTGCCACGTTGTTTGATTTGGTAAGCGTAGCAGGAGCAATTATTTTCTTAGGTTTAAAATACTGTGCTTTAATCCCTCTTCTTCCGTGTCCTCTTGCTCCTCCCCTGAACAGGTAGCATTCTCGAATGTTGTTAACCAGGAAGAAAAATAGGCAAAAGGCTGTTTTGTAAGTGCCCACAAATAAAGGGTTAGCATTGAACCAAATACACAAATCATTTGAGAAGATTCTTTGGGAAATTATTTTTCCCTGTTGCTTCATTCCCCAAGGATAAGATCAAATAAGCTTCTGAATAAAGAAAGGTGGAAGAATCTCTCTTCTCTCAAAACAGAGCTAGTTGGTAGGGATAATTTTAGTACTGTATACAAAGGAGACATCTAATAGTCTTGCTTAAGGAGGATTTGCTACTGAATTATAAAGAAAAAAAAAAAGCTTTGAAACCTGATGAGCTAAACAGAAAAAATACAGAGCAAGGAATACTATTAAATTAGTGAATTTAAATGTGAGAACTGTAAACCACATGTTGAAAGTCCAGTATGTCTAGTCCGTGTTATAAGCAGCACGCACGTTTAACATAGGAGCAACAGAAGTCTATACACTTGTGATTTCTGGCCAAGGGTAAGGAGAACACCACTAACATGCTACTATTATTGTACTACTGATATAGGTACGTCTTTGAGCAGTGCTGAGACAATTTCTCTTTTGCTTTCCAGAATAAGTGGTTAAGCCGTAGCCCGATGTTGCAGAGGAGAGTGTATCATTCCATGGCTGCTGTCCAAAGGAAACTTTACGTGTTAGGTGGGAATGATCTGGACTACAATAACGATCGGATCCTGGTTCGGCACATAGACTCCTACAGCATAGATGCTGACCAATGGACACGTTGCAGCTTCAACATGTTGACAGGCGAGTATTGTACACCAAAAGAGGAAACTCGCTACTATTAGAATAAGACATCAATTCTTTCCCCTTTACGTGCCTTCAGTATGTGGAACTCCACAACTTCATCTCAGTTGCCTCTGATTTGGGGGCCATCGTTGGCCAACAAGGCACTTGTGATTACTGTTCTCACATTTAGTGTTCTACAGAACATTTGTTCTAGGACGTTATGGGATAAATTTTTAACAAGGTGCACATAAATGTAATTTAATTAAACAATCAAAAATTCTTTGTCGTCGTATTACCAGTACTTATTTTTGACTCTCCAAAAGCTTGCCTCCACTGATAGATTTAGCTCCCTGTTTGAGTGTTCAACAGGCAGATCCATCTCTACCATGGTATTGTTTTGTAGTGCTTCCTGCTGGCGTTATAGAGCATTGAACTCCATTAACCATCACTTCTTTCTAAGCAATATCTTCTTAATAAATTACCCGAAAGAAGGTGTCTGTTGGAATTCTGTCAAGTCAGGGATGACTTGAGTATCTCGGTTAGCTATGGATCTGTTAAGTTCCTTTTGGCCATCATTAGGAGGACCTGCTACAGTAGTAACTTGCAAAGCACTGCAACTCACTGTCCCTGCCACCCAGTCCCCCAAATTTCACCGCCACTTAATACAATTCCCAGATGTACTGCTCCCTCAAATCCCTGGGAAGAGTGCGTGACACGTTCTCAGAGTAGCACCAACAGCAGCTTTGCAGAAGAGGATGCGTTTCCAGGACGGCATTAATGTTGTGGACATTCTCTTGTGCAGCAGACTTGGAGCTCAATGAATAACAGTATTGGCTGCCAAAAAGTTTCAACATAGACTGCTACAGGAGTCCTAGAACTGAGCTTACCTCACTTTTCATCCTCTTCCATTTGGCATTGAATTCATTTGTGAGATCTACCACTGAAAAGGATACAAAAGATGTAGGAGCTTAACTAGAAGCCCAGGATTAGAAACACCATGTTAGAGAAATGAACGTCTGACAAAATAAGACCGTCACCTTATGTAATTTTCCTCCTGGTAGGTTTAAAAGCTGCTCTAGTGGCAACTTTGTTCTTTAAGATATTGCATTGGGTTTCTTAATTGAAATTCTTAATTCTTCTTCTTCTTGATTTTGTGGAATCTGGAGAAGGGCTGCTTGGTTTCTGAGTCAGGTCATCGGAGTACTTCATGGGCGTTGAGGAGAGAGGCATGGATTAAAAAGGACGAGTAACCGACTGTCAAACAGAACTAGTTTTTCATATCCCTTTTGCTCTCTATTTAATTATTTTATTACCTGGAGGAATTGAGAGCCTTTGAGAAGGACATAACCTGATTTGCAACTGCAAAAGAACTGGCACTGCAGGCACCCCTGTTCTGGAGCTGACCCTATACCACTAAATGCTGTGATAGTAGCCTCTCCTCAGATATGACCTGGTGGGTTGTTTCTACAGCCTGCACCTTGAGAAGCCATCTAAGCCTTTCTTTGCGTCTTTGCAACTGGTGGTAAATGTGCCTGTTGCACGGTGTAGTACAGATTTTTTTTTTTTTTTGAGGCTGTATTTATCCTTCAAAACTTCCAGACTTGTTCAGGGAACCGTTGCTATGGGAATGAGCTCACACAGCAGCTTCGGCAGTGTTCACCGTACTTGCACCTGCAGGAACAGGGGGATGAACAGGTACGAGCAGAACGGGAGGGGCATTCAGCTCTCTCGGCCTACGTGTCCATCTGGATGTGCATGTGTGATCGTAGCTGAGAGGCAGGTGGGGAGCTTGCCTATCACCTATGAAACACAGGCATACAAAAACCTGTGCCATTGAGGAGACAGCAGATGGTCCCCTGCACAGCCTCAGTTTATTGCTCAGCCGGGGCATCTCTCCGGATAGCACCGTATGGGGCTCCCGCGGAGAGCAAAGAACAGCCCTCGCACTTCACCTTCAGTGTCGCACGTTGTGAATTCTGAAACAGTTGAGTTACTGCCGGGTGCGTTTTCATTGTATTACAGAACTCCAACATTCGGTGTTAAAAGGGTTAATTAAACACTGAAAGTGGTTTCTATTGCCTTTTTTGCTTTAGGTCAAAATGAGTCTGGAGTGGCCGTCCACAATGGTAGAATATATTTAGTTGGCGGCTATTCGATTTGGACAAATGAGCCTTTGGCATGTATCCAGGTGAGTGATTTAGGTTTCTTTTAAAGTCTTTTCCAATAATTTTGCAAGGATACGTTTTGCACAGAGGTTATTCAAAAAGGAAAATGCATGTGAAGTGGAGAGATTAAAGATGTTTCTTATGCAGCCACTGAACCTGCATAAACATAGAGAGGAAATACTGTGCATATCAAAAATATGTCCAGATGAGCCATTAGATCCAGTTATTCTAAGATATTCTAGTAAAACAGGGTTGAGGAGTCTCTCCTTTGGCAAGGTTGGGTAAAACAGCAGATATAAACTCTCAGGTTACACAATCAAGTTGAAAAGTAAAAGGACTGCAGAAATGGATGATGGGGCATGGGCTAACAATTTTTCAGCCCATCTTGTGATTTCTTTTTTTTTTTCTCTCTCCAAGTCGTCTTTCTGAAGAGCAGCCAGAGTTAACGAGTTGTTCTTTGACAAAGTTCAGGCAGCCTGCAACCTGCCCTAGCGCTTACTGCTTCAAAGCTTGAATGGGAGTTTTTTGATCCCTGCTGTAGGCAATAGGTTGTCCAACAAACTCTTCTACTCTCTCATCTTGTGTAAGAGCAGCTTACCTGCAGACCCACGGCTTTCAGGTACTCCTGTAGAGAAATTAGGAATTCTTATCTTTCTGCATTTTTCTGAGGGAAGCGAATCTGCGTCGCAGCCATCACTTTGTGACCAGCTGGGCAGTTAAGAGACAGAAACTCCTCGGTTTCTGCACTTCTGCTGATAAACAACATTTTTCATTAGCTTCCAACTAAGGATTTTAGGATTTCACCTCTAAACTGTCCCATAAGGCTAGAAGTTAGACTTAGCATAAGAAGGGAATGCATTACATGTCGAGCTGCTGGTCTTACAATGAACACATGCGTTTGTAAAGAATAGATCATGCAAGATAAGGAGTTAAAACCATATTCTGGTCATAGTATAATTTGGTTTTACTACATTGTTGGATACCGTACCTAACAATTTTTATTGGGAAAAGTAATTCAAACTGGCTTCACTAGCTGACATACAGTGCTTCAGATGGAGTAATAGCACGATATCAAGGCGGTGGCTGTACTCCACCAACACGCTCATTTATCATCAGCAGGTACTTTGCAGTATTGCACCTGGGTTTAAATACTGCTTAGTGACAAGTGAAAATGATCCTGGGATCTTGCTTTCTTAAATGGACATTTGTCCACATCCCCAGACTGGTTGTGAGCTGGCAGCCTGCCCGAGACAGTCCCCGCATTAAAGGGAAAAGAAGTATGACGAGTGCTTTGGCAGAGCTGTGCGTGCTGCCCCTTCTCAGTTGTTGGCAGCGTGCCTGGCTTTACCCAGGAAAACTAGCCCTTTTATCTTCAAATTGAGCAAACTGGAGGTTGCTCTCTCCGTTGGAAGAAAAAAATCCACTTTTTCGATGTATCTTCATTTTCTTCAAGTCATTCATTTATTTGGCCCTTCCAGCTTTGATAGAGCTCCCTTGCTCCTTATATACCACCAAGCTGACAAGTGATTTGCCCTTTGGGCTAACAGTAGCACTTCTGCGCAGAGCACCCGACTTGGGCGGTTGCACGTTCTGCTGCTAGGGAGCAGGATCCAATGCCACTGTCTGCGGCTGAGTGCCTGAGCGAGGATAACATTTGGGTGACGGGGACGGCAATAAATCACCAGATCCATAAATACAACCTAAAAGTGATCTGAAATGACCTTTTTGTTGGGATTAATAGTACCTGTATGCGGTGTGCGCCAGCAAATTTGTTTCAGCTTTCTTTTGCAACCCCTGAAATATTTTGTACGCTTTGACCTGCAGGTGCTGGATGTTAGCAAGGAAGGGAAGGAAGAAGTGTTCTATGGGCCTACGCTCCCCTTTGCTTCCAACGGAATAGCAGCATGCTTTCTTCCAGCTCCTTATTTCACGTGCCCCAACCTTCAGACTCTGCAAGTGCCTCACCACAGGATCGGCACAATGTGAGACACGAAACGTGCGCTTCATAAAATCAAAAGCAAAGGGAGAAAAAAATCAAACCCTGTGTACAGAAGGGTTTCTCTGGATCAGTGAAAAGGATCAATCCACATGGGCTGCTGCTTTACCATCACACATTTGTCTTAAAGTCGGATCACAGCAGGCAGGAAGGAAGCTACAAAATTCGTCTGCTGTTTCTCTCCTCTGCCTCGGATGTAGAAGCATATACGTGAGAGCGTTTGGCATTTCTGCTGGTGACTACTTGCTACCTGTCTCTCCTTCGTTTCCTTATGCAACTTCGTAAGGTGTTGTGAATGCTCTCAGCTCCTCCTGGGCTGCTGCTCTTTGGAGTCTGCACGTTCAGTTGTTCACCAATGGCACTTTCAAAGCTGATAGAAAGCTGTGTTTATGTTGACAAAGATGATATAATACTATGGTAATTATGCAACTTACTCGATACCTTTGGCAAAAAGAATAACAAGTGTGTTGACTTCCAATTCCAAACTCCATCGTTTACAGTTTCTCATTTAATAATACTTCATTTGAAATTTAAATACTGCAAAGCAGATTAAAACAAAAATAAAAAACAAACAAGCCCTATGGTATAGGAGGAAGAGATAAAAATTGTCTCAGCTGAAAGACAAAGACACTGAAGGGTCGTGTTTAAA